GTGCTACTCTATTTACATTTACTCTGAGTTGAGTCAAATGATTAATAGCATCCTGGAAATTCTGTAGCATTGCATCGGTGTACCGTCCTTTCTTTACAATTATTTTCATCCCAAATATTTCCCAATAATGTAAATGAATAACTTCACAGTAGTGAGAAACAAGCAAGTTTCATTAGCACTACAATAAGTTGCCAGGCACAAGTACTCTATGCCAACAGATGATTTAAGATAATCATATATATAGTGACATCCTATGGGGAAACAGTGCAACTGCAGTTAGTCAGTGAGAAATCTGACAAAAAGGTGCAGCCAGCATGTTTTAGTATTAACCTACTAACTCCTCACTGACTGATTGTCAGGGGAGAAAACGTCACAACAAGTTCTGACCAATCTACTATACAGATAAATATAGTACTATATAGACAGATAAATCTGCTGGTCGGCCATGAGTCCGGTTTTACAGAAAAGGATGCGGGACAAGTCTTCTAATAGAGTACTAGGTTCTACAATTGTCTTGAAAAGACCAAGCTGCATGTCCTCGGGTTGTCTGCATTGACATGTATGCTCTCTGCCAGGTTCAGCTGGGACATGGGGATTAATTTAAGATAAATTTTCTTTAAAAACCCAGTAATGAACCATGCCCGTGGCCAAATATATAAAGCAAGTTTATTTAAATCCAGATAAAAATCAAGTCTCCTTCATTATCATATGAAGGTAGTTGTATATAATGATCCTCATGCTTCATTTAACATCAGCTTGGCAGATCTCCACAGGCTGCCATAGGAGCTCCAACTCTAGGCAAACTGCACAGTCATATCCCACAATAGCTATCTATGAAATACTGTAGACAAGAAAATGACATAAAAATAAACTCAAGACAAAGGTCCATAAATCCCCAGGTTAGTGCTTTACTATTGAAATAAAGCACAACTGTGTTATTCTCCTTTCCCTTAGCTTTTAATCTCCAGTTGCCATCATAGTAAGGTTAATTCTGCTAAGAAGAAAATTAGAGAGGTTTTTATTTAGTCAAAATATTAAAAAAAAAAAAAAAAAAAAAAAAACAACCTCAAAAATCACATTTTCTTTTCTTTTTTGTTAACTTTTTGAGCATAGACCAGCACATTTTTCACATCACAAAATCTCTTGACGAGGATCAGTGTATCATTGCTAGCTATGGGCCTTTTAAACATTTATTTCTATGAGGGAATTTACTTTTGCCGGTCTATATTAAAGCATTACATTCAACAAAATGCCAGCAGCTGAAGTTACAGACAAGATTAATGTGAGATCAATGGCAATTAGTTTCTCTTTTTTGTCTGTTTTAAATGTATCTCTTTTTATGTGTACCTTTGTTCAAGAAAACAAAGGTACACATCCCTGTTCAGTTTCTTTTGGTTAAAGGGTTGAATAGAGAGCTCACCCGTGGCCTCGCTCATTACCAGCAGGCCCTGTTAGTATTTACAGCATCACGGTGGGTTGACCTCACACCTCACAACCATTCAGAGTTAGAAAATAAACACGGCTGCACCGGGCCCCGCAAGGGAGCCATTTCCTCTGAAAAGACACACAGGGTTTTGTGGCTTAACTCAACTTTTTTGTTGGTTTGTTGCAATGACGTGGGATAAGGAAGGAGAATCCAAACACTAATTAGGAAATGAGGAACATCGTCCTTCCCTTCTTGAATGCTCTTTCTGGGATCTTTTTATTTCTGATCGGTCAACCATGCACAATCATCCACCTGCTACTTCTAAATGATGGGTCCTTTTTTTTATTATTTTTGTTTGGATTCACCCTAAAAGAATTTAAATGAGCTTTCAAATATTTGCACTGTGTTCCCAACAACATGGAAAACACCACTAAGCCGCTAGGGAGGGGAATTGTGTTTGGCAATGTGTTCTTTCATAAATAAAAGTCATTTCACTAACTGAAAAGAAAGAAAATGTACATTTTGCTTTAAGACTTACACTAAGAAACTCATCTTTGCTTCCCCTGTTACTGAATAAAGAGCATTTTTAAAATGAAAATAAACTGAATGAAAGGATGCTACATATGGCATCTTAACGTTTACAGCTTTACTGTGCAAAAAGACAACATCAGAAGTCAGTTTCAACATCAAACCAAACACTTCCCCCAAAACTAAATGTGCAGACCTGTGTGAACAGGTGATCACTGCTTTAAAAAACCAAATGTTTAGTCGCTGCATAGCCTGATGCTAAGCTCAAAGCCAAAGAAGAAACATCAACTTCTTTTTGGGTTGAGCTTCTTTAAACATATTGCTCTTTTGCCCTTCGTTTGACTGCGAAACCTTCGGAATCACTGGTTCCAAATTGTTTAACATGCCTTACGGAAAGTTTAGCAACATTTAGACTTCTACTCATAAGATAAAAGTACAACTCAGTGATTTGGAGATATTTTTAAATGAGTAAAAAACATATAGTTTTAAAATGTTAAGTATTAAAAACATTGGAGTTAAGCTAGCAACAATAGCCTCTTCATTCAATCCACTAAAGGAGCCGTTTCTTTGAAGGGCAAGCCAAGAGAAACAATTCTGTCAGAAGGTCTATAAAAGGCCGTTTCTGAAAGGACGAGGAGTTCTGGGAAATAATAGAAAAGCAAATGTTGAGAAATGAGAGCTTAGAAGACTTGAATTTTTTATAGAATGTCTAAGGATAGTATTAAATGCAATTCCCTGGGGAGAATGTGAAAACAAAGGCAGGCAGAGGGGGTATCGGCTGAGGTCAAATTGTGTCAACCTGAGTTACGTTCAGATGACTGCACTGAAGCTGACCTGTGTGCCAAGTATTAGACTCCACCGGCCGGTTGAAAAAGCCCGCTTGCATTTCAGCTCCTTGATGTCAGTATATCTCCAGTGGGCCATGTGCCTTCACTTGACAGCCTCCTGGTTTGACGACATTATTTTTCACAGCCGCCCATCGGTGAAAGCATTTGCAGCAATGTGCAATGGCAAATTTGTGATCTGGCAACAAATTAGGGCATTCATAAATCCTGAACAATGACAAGAATTCCAGTATTCACACTGGTCTGTGATGGTGAAGAACAGTGCTATAGGTAGCACACTGAAGGAGATAGCTTTTAGAATAATGTTTCTGTAAAAGTTGTTCATGTTATGTAAAAATTAGCCTTTCTTATATATATTATTTTAAAGTGTTATATGTTTTTTCACCGCTGAAATGAGTATTGCAAGTAAAGCTCTAGCTCAGAGTTATTTCCTGGCAGTGTAAACCATCCCAATCAGCAGGGAATGAAAAACAGCAGATAATATGATTAAATGAAATGCTGGAATGCTGGTTACTTTTAACATAAAAATAATAACCACTGTTGGTTTCATATGCAATAAATCATCATCATTTAAATCCTCATTTATTTTCAGTTATGGTACATAGTTAACTGCAAACCTCCGGTCTGTTCGCTCAGTTAACAGATTACTGAAGCAGTGAATCTTGCAGCTCATCACAATGTTATTCAACAAGGCGTTGGTGTGTTGCTACAATAGGATGTCTGCCAGAAAGTATATTCAGTTGTAATATAAATAAGGAAACATATGCAGAATGTCGAAACAATTTTCACTCAGGGATTGTAACAATTTAACTGCCCATACCTGATTAATGTGATGGTTATTAACAAAGGGTCCACTTTCAGCTGCTTCACTGCCATCTTGGCCTAGGTGAGGGCTGTTTGCTTAAATGCCTGGCAGGAGTTTCAGTGACAATAAAGCACAGCTCTAACTGAGCACAAATTTAGTAGGAGTGCAGCTCCCAATTTGCCGGCTGCATTGCTAAGCTAGCCTGAAAATTAGCCTGGGCAAAGACTAAAAACCGGGGTGGGGGGCTGCAAGGAATGTACATGTATAAGTGACTTCTGTAATTATTTGCATTTATGTGTAAATGTGAGGTGTTTTTTTATCTTGACTACATAATTCAAACCAATATGCTGTAGGTTACAGCAAGTACTGTATGCTAACCACTGTCTTAAGGTTACTACTGTTGTGATGTGGCGCTATATAAATGGCACTGAAATGAACTGAGTCTACTTCAACTTCATGACTTCAACAATAGCTAATCAAGTCAGGAGCTAACAAACCTGGGCCTTATAAATTAAACAGTACTGGTGCTGTGTTATTGTAGCTTTCTAAAACAGCAGATAATACTGGACATAAAAAAGGGATTTAGAAATGCCACAGCAATAATGCATGATACATAATCATGGTGAATGAAAAAATTTAGCATATATTTTAAGTATGAAAAGGCACACAGTGTGAAACGAAAAGCCCCCACAGGGGACTTCAGCATCTTTCCTTTGTGTGTAGTTTAAACTCACGGCTCATATTCGGGTTTTTGCATTATGGGTTCAGTAACCCAGTAAATGCAACATTAGAAAATAAATCATGTGTAAAGGGCCTATGTGGGTACTTTCAATGCCCATAATCTTTCTATAAGTTGTGCCAATATGAAAACCAAACAGCTTTTGGACCTATGTACTGAAACCAAAAGCGATACACTGTAGCTGTTTAGTGCACATACATTGTACACCTATATTACCAGTATCAGAAGTTTACATAAAAAAAGTGTGGACAAAGAATTAAGAGACTTACTGTAATGGATTATGTAAAATCATTTTGATGTGATGAAATAAGAAAAAGACTCTTACTTCAAATTATGCATGTTTCCAAAAAACAACAGAACACCAGAGTTTAAAAAGAAACCTAAAAATTGGCTGAAGCATAAGGATACCACTCCACCTAATGAAGCTCAATTCATTTAGTTAGGTATCCACCTTGTGGTAAATAGGTGGTACTGCACCATTTTACAGGTCGCGCGTATTTTGCTCAACTTTATAGCCACAAAAAGCCATAGAGTTGGAACTGTTACCTAACCATTGTGTGATATGATGCAAGACTGTCACCTTGCAACATATTTTGGTCTTTAAATCTAAAGATGCATTCAAAAATAAATCAAATGAAATCATCTAAACATGCCAACATACCTCAATATTTTTTTCACTCAGTCTGAAAGAGAAGTGGGTGTTTTACGTGTCTACTTGACACTTCACTTCAAGCTTCACTGCAAACGCACCCAACTGTAACTAAAGTTTACCTGTCTAAACTTATCATCAATTAAAACTTCTTCGTCACTTTCTCCTCTTTATATCTTTATTACAACCTAAATGCACAGAACTCTGAGGCCTCGCGTGCCTCGTGAGTTCTGCATTGATGGTGGACCTGTTTTTTTCTCCATGCTGCACTTCATGGCCTCCTCTACTTAGCAGATATATTGTTCTTCCTACCACCCCCCCACACACGATGAGATTCCTTGGCGCACACAGTCACACAGGCTTTTAGACACTCATTAGCTCTTACTAATACAATAAGCGTCACCTTCCATTACATGGTGCTCGGCTGGATATCAGGATTGGAAACCCACCAAATCTCCACACAAGCGGTGCTACCCCCTCAAGCATGGCATTGTCTTTCAACCACAATGTCAGATTGTTGTCTCTTTTCTCTTTAACCAGTGTCTTAAGTGTAAACATATACACTTAATGTAGATAAGTGCACATACTGACACCTTTCTCCGACACACACACCATCTCATGGATGCTCTTTGAAGGAGTGGCTAAACTGACACACATTCTTGCATTGTGTGGATCCTCACATCAACTTTGGGGTTTGTTTCAGTGCAGGCAGCTGTTTAAAAATCCACCGTGCCCCCACCCTGTTCAAGCCTGTTGTCTCGCTTTCGAACAGCACATGTAGAGGTGTAAGAAAATCTTAATTAAGACTCCTAATTCTCCGTGCTGTCGCCCGACCACGGCTGTGGACTCACGTGAACCCTTCTGCGCGCAGCGTGAGGATAGACGTCGTTGGACCAGGTTGGCAGTTTTGTTCTATCATCTGTACTCTTCAAACTTCAACCAGGATTAACAGATACTTATTAAAATCAATTTAATAAAGTTCTCATAATAATATAATTGTGTAGCTTGTTGCAAACTTTCAATATAAAAACACTACTATGTAGCAAAAAAAATTCAAAAGACCTAATAGCAAGTAGTTTTTCATTTTTGAGGTAAGGTGTAAATTGAATAAACATGATTATAATAAAAGAAAAGTTTTCATGTTTTTTAATAGTGTCGTTTTTCCTGTAAACAACAAACTTGTCTAGAGTCTGGCCTTTTCATCAGGAATCTAATTTGTTAACATAACAGTTAACACGCACATGTTAATGAATTTTCCTCATTATACTGAGAGGCTACAGTATGCCGTATGTCACCGCACAGATATATAATGTGTAGTGACAAGTGCTTGCCACTGTAAAGGTGATTTCAGCTCTGGGTTTTGTATGTCGCTCTTGGGTCTGAGGCTTCTCCCTCTGAGCAGTGGCAAAGGGCATGTGATCCTCGGCGTGCAGCAGATGCCCTGAAGAAGACTTGCAGCAGATGAGTTGAAAATGAGCGTGACATGTGTTAAACAGGCGAAGCCCCGCAACGCTGACGTTTGACAAGATGATGGGCGTAGGCAATTATTATTGTCTCCGCTTAAAAAGCAGTCAATATTCAGGGCTGCAGTCTTTGAAAGCAAAAGTCATAATACAAATCAGCTTGAACAGATTTTCATTACTAATTGAGGTGCCTGAATGGAATATGATCAGGCTTAAACAGGCAAGAACCAGATTTTGAAAGCCTTAAAAGCCCGAGGGTCCATAATGGTGATTTTAAAGAAATTGATATAAAACGACCGCTAAAATGATTTCAGCGACATCCTTACATTGTAACATGTAGGTGTCAGCGACTATGAGTTCTTTCTTTACACACTTGTAGTCATCTGCACGCCCTAACAGACCTCCGACCTCAGTCCTTCCTGCCCGACAAAAGTACCAATGATGGTGCGTTAGCCATGGGGTGGAACATGCCAAGGGGGCGCTCCACTCCACCCCCTTCCCTCTACTCACCCTCCAGAACCATTTGGACCACAGGGAATGGGTTAATCACATTAGAGGCCCAGAAGAGAGATGGGAAGTAGACAGTACCGTGACAGCCGGGGTAGCACTGGCACGACTAATCCCGTTAGGCCGAGGAAAAAGGGGGACGCCATCGCGCCTACGAGGCTGAGAAAGAGAAAAACATTTTCCCAGGAATGAGTTCACCTGTATGGTAACACGGCGAAGTTGGCCTGTTGATGCCTATTAGAAGAAACAATCGCACTTGGCACATACAAATGTTTTTTTTCATGCTGGGCACCACTTTATTGTCAGTGCCTGAAAAAAAATCAGCAGCAGACAGTGGCATCGCATGAGATCCTCTTTCATGCCACAGTGAAGCCCCCCCTTTCAACCCACTGCTATCTGTCTGCCAAACAGTGAGAAGATGGGGAGGGGTGCTGTAAGAAGGATAGAGCCTATTTCATCTGCCATTGTAAGTGCACCCGAGTTCAACCTTAATGTAAACCTTTGCAGGCAGGATATGAATAGGATGCTCTCTATAAAAATATATCCTGCTGGGTAATCCGGCAGATGGCCACAGCAGCGGACACTACAAGGGAGGGTGTAGCCACTGCAGGGGTAAACGGGGAACGTCCGTTCAGCAGCCACTCTTCAGACTGGGAGATGTGGAATCAAGATTCTTAACTCCCCTTGGCAACGCTGGGAAACAGAGCCGTCAGTTTAGATCCATCAAGTTTCTACTTAATCTCACCCACCATTTTTTTTTCTCTCCAGTTTCTCCTTTTTTTTTTTGTATCTTCTCCCTTTGTTGTGGGGATTAAGCCAAGTGGTAAAACAGTGATTTAATGATCTTTCCATGGCTATGTGCACCACTTAAACCATGAGACAAACAAGCTGAGGCATTCTAAGAGTCACCCCCTCTGAAGGCGGCTGTTCAGGAACTGTGAGGCTTTTGATACAGCTTTAAGCTCTGGCTGATTATTTTTCCCACTGCGGTGTGATGTGCTGTGCTCTGCTATGGGAAAATTGAAGTTTTTGTGTTTTGTGAAGGCCCATTGTAAACAGGATAAGAAGAAAACAGTTGGATAATTTAATGATAGCTTTATAATGATAAGGTATGGTAAATTGTAATGATTTCTTTAAGCACAAAAGAAGCAGTGCTGTTAAACTTCAGCATCGCCATTGCAAAGCATAAGAAAAATACATTAATATTGCAAATATTTTTTTTATAGTCAGATAAGGCAAAAGGGGGTCCAACCCAGTACTAGCCAGGTGTACCTAATACAGTAGTTGATGAGTGCAGCTCAAAACTGTTTACAAGTATCTTAATCTTTATCTGTCATATTTATTAAGACATTGAGCCCACCACTATGTAAAGACTAAAAACTACATTTTCCGTCTAAAAATGATGCATTTAAATGTTCCAATATTATGCCACACCAGGAAATTATTTCTTCACCTGTGAGTGCCTTGTCTATTACTTTTCATGTATTACCTCTTCAAATTCATTCTCCAAACTCACATGGTGCAGAGCACTGAATATATCTGTTTGAGAGGTACAAACTACATGGGAAAAAGCACATACTGACCAATGTCTTTTTATCTTATTCAGAATATGAAAGAAACTTCGCTTTCCTTTAAGAAAACTCACACATTAAGGATTACTACAAAAAAAATCATTTAATTGTGGTAAATTATATATCAATACTTCTGATGCAGTTTGTGTTTGTGTCTGTGTGTGCTTGTATATGTGTCTGTGTGTGTGTCTGTTACTCATTTACTGAGAAATAACTGCCAAGGCATTGGCAGTGACCAGCAGAGAGTAGGACTAGAAAGCCATAATAGGGCGACAAATATCAGAGGAGAGGCAGTCTGTGTGTAATGGATGATGGAGGTGTGAGTGTTTAGGGCAGTGTGCAATAAGTGGGTAAGCTGGTGGTTGGCTACATTGGGGGACACCAGTAGGGTCAATGATGATGATAATGGGGAGGGTAAGCACTCTATTGAGGTTAATACTTCTGAGCTGGCTAAGAGATTATGCCATTGTGAAAAATATTTAAGACCTCACCGATTTTACACCGCTAAGAAAGTCAGAAAGAGAGAAGACAGTTTTCAAACTACACATTAATATGAAAAACTGTAGCCATGACCAAGCTGTAAGTGAGCTGACATTCAGACACAAATGGCTGATCATTAAGTAATAATGATTTTAGATGGCAACATTCAGGTTATTGAGGAGTCAGTATGACCCCTGCTGTAATTAGAACATCAGCTGTAACTGCTGCTTTATTACAACCCTAATTCCAAAAATGTTGGGAAGGCTGTGTAAATAAAAACTGAACGCAGGGATTTTGAAATGTCATACACCCATATTTTATTTACAGTAGAATATAGAAAACATCAAACTGTTAAAATGTACCATTTTAAAAAAGAAATGGCTATTTTTTTTATTTGATGGTAGTGACATATCTCAAAAAAGTTGGGAAGGGGCACGTTTACCACTGAGGAGAATCCCCTCTTCTTCTAAGAACAATCGTCTGCAAACTGAGGAGACCAGTTGTTGGACTTTTAGGGCGGGAGTGTTGCCCCGTTGTCTGATTTAGGATTCCAGCTGCTTTTTATTACCACTTACGTGTCATTATCATCCCAACTTTTCCGAGACGTTTTGTTGCCATCAAATTGAAAATTTCATTAAATACTAAAATATAATATGTTTTCTATGTTTTACCATAAATAAAATGTTGGTCTGTGAGACTTGCAAATCATTCCATTCTGTTTTTATTTACATTTTACACATCCTCCCCAGTTTTTTAGACCTGAAGTTGTGATTATCACACAATCCCTGTGAAAACATGGACTCAGACAGGTGTAACAAGTAGAGCATTTGTACTTATTTTTAATCTGAGTCCTCGGCGAAGAGGTGGGAACGGAAGTCCTCCATCAAGGTGATGACCTCATCAACAACTTCAATCTTCTTCTTGACCGGGAAACATCTGGGCATGAGCTTTCGTCCATACTATAAGATTTTAAAGGTGGAGCCTTAACCATCAGTAGGATATAACTTGCTATGAGATTTTTTTTCTAAGCTAACTAAAATTGATTTGTTGGTAGAGCATTGAGAGGCTAAGTGTCTTTATTTCTCAAAGCTAGAGGTAACATTTCTCAATTGTAAGAAGAGCATTCTGTGTGTTTGTGTTGAGCTGCATTTTTACAGATGTTCCCCCTAACATCACACAACAATCACTTATATATGTGGCACACTGACTTAATGCAAGTACAGAATGTATTTAATGTTGTATGAATCTATGTTAAATGACTCACTGTTTTCTTGGCTTCATCCAGCGATCTCTGAATGCACTCCTTCATCCTTTCTCTGTGTTGCTCCATCTCCAGTTTAAGTTTTTCCTCTCGCTGTCTGGAGTGTGTAACAACATGTAATAAGAGAGGTAGTTATACAGTATACTGGATTTTTGTCAATGCACCAAAGACAGGAATTAAAATATAAACAGAAACAAAACCCATTTTTATCTTTCTGGACTGTTAAATAAAAACTGGAGATTAAGGAGGTGGATAAAATTTACTATTCACAAGTTAGCCCTGTTTACTAAACATCTGCGTTCAGTGAGACAAACCTGCTCCTCTTCTCGCTGTCCTTGATGTTCCTCAGTGTTTTCAGCACGTCCTCTGGGATGCTCTCAACTTGCTGGAACAGCAGAGATATATGGTGCTCAAAACCAGTCAGCATCTCCAAAGTGGTGAGTTGGGTCGGCCGTTCATCGACGCATGAGGAATACACCTTTGCCACCTTAATCGCCAAATCATTCAACATAATATCCTGTAAGTAAGACAGTTGTAGAAGATGAGAGAAAAAAAGGTTCCCCAAAGCTGCTTTGATTTCAAATAGGATGATATATTAAAAAAGTCGAGCATAAAGTACACTCTGCATCATTACCTGGTCCTCTGTCTTTATTGATTCATGGAGATGAACACTCTTTTTAAGCATGGCCACTCTCTTCTTTTTGATGTCAACTCTCTCCTTCATATCTTCTACATGCATGTTTAGCTGCTCTTCTTCCTCTTTCCTTGACACAAAGAAGAGTTTATCTATCTATCTATCTATCTATCTATCTATCTATCTATCTATCTATCTATCTATCTATCTATCTATCTATCTATCTATCTATCTATCTATCTAT